ATGTATATAAGAAAAAAAAAGGCTATAGCATGCTTGGTTTCTCTCAAGGCCTTCCACCTTGAATTCAGAGGGCTACTATCGTGTTGCCTCTGCACTTGGTCATCCCTCTATGCTCTTACAACTCTGATGTCCCTCTGTTTGTCCTAATCTCTTCTTGTATAGGTAAACCAGAAAGACTGGATTCAGGCCCACTCCAATGGCCTCCATCCAACTTAATTGCCTCTTTAAATTATCTGTCTCCAAATACAGTCACATCCTGAGCTACTGGAGGTTAAGGAGTCAACATATGAATTGGAGGGGAACATAATTCAGCCCACAACAAAGCCCTATCCATTTGCACAGTATCTAATTAGCTCCTTTTTTTATTGGTTATTCAAAACATTACAAAACTCTTGACATATCATTTTTCATACATTCAATTCAAGTGGGTTATGAATTCCCATTTTTACCCCAAATACAGATTGCAGAATCACATCAATTACACGTTCACATTTTTACATAATGCCATATTAGTAACTGTTGTATTCTGCTACCTTTCCTATTATCTACTATCCCCCCTCCCCTCCCATCTTTGCTCTCTATCCCATCTGTTGTAATTTAATTCTTTCTCTTGTTTTTTTTCCCTTCCCCCTCAAATTCTCTTATATGTAATTTTGTATATCAATGAGGGTCTCCTTCCATTTCCATGCAATTTCCCATTTCTCTCCCTTTCCCTCCCACCTCATGTCTTTGTTTAAAGTTGATCTTTTCCTCCTGCTCTTCCTCCCTGCTCTGTTCTTAGTTGTTCTCATTATATCAAAGAAGACATTTGGCATTTGTTTTTTAGGGATTGGATAGCTTCAGTTAGCATAATCTGCTCTAATGCCATCCATTTCCCTGCAAATTCCATGATTTTGTCATTTTTTAGTGCTGCGTAATACTCCATTGTGTATAAATGCCACATTTTTTTATCCATTCATCTATTGAAGGGCATCTGGGTTGGTTCCACAGTCTAGCTATTGTGAATTGTGCTGCTATGAACATCGTTGTGGCACTATCCCTGTAGTATGCTCTTTTAAGGTCTTCAGGGAATAGTCCGAGAAGGGCAATAGCTGGGTCAAATGGTGGTTCCATTCCCAGCTTTTCCAGGAATCTCCATACTGCTTTCCAAATTGGCCGCACCAATTTGCAGTCCCACCAGCAATGTACAAGAGTACCCTTTTCCCCACAACTTCTCCAGCACTTGTTGTTGTTTGCCTTCATAATGGCTGCTAATCTTACTGGAGTGAGATGGTATCTTAGGGTGGTTTTGATTTGCATTTCTCTGACTGCTAGAGATGGTGAGACTCTCTCTTATCATACAAGGGAAGAATTGAGAATCAGCAAAATGTGGGGAAAGCCTCTGTCAAGGAAAGAGAAGCCACCAAAACAAACATGAAGAAGAAACTCAGTGGAAACAAATAAGACAGGTAAAATATTTTTTTAACTGTGATTCCATTTATAACACCTCCTGGAAAAGGCAAAATGATAGGCATAGAAAACAGATCAAAGTGAACAAAGACAGGGTACAGGGAAATTAAATAATTACATATTTTGAACAAGGGAACTGTTTTATATCTTAAATATAGTGGTAGCTACATGACTTCATATGTTTGTCAAAACTCATAGAACTGTACACTAAAAAGAGAATTTTACCATATGCAAATTTTATCTCCCTAAAAAGAAAGTCATTGATATACTTAGAAACATGAGATTTTGTATCCATAACAGCACAAAGTACTTTTTTTAAAAAAGAATGTTCAGAAGATAAAACTCTCACTTTGAAATTTAAAAATATTTTAAAAAATGAGAATGTAATAGAAAGGCAGAAAGATAGAAATATATATATTTTGTATATATATGAAACAAAAAAAACATAAAAATATAAAAAAATAAATCACAATAATATGGGACAGCAAAAAACAGAAGAGAGAATATTACCAAGCAAATAATTGAGATAAATTTCTTAAAACTGAAAAGGCATAGAGTCCTTTTTCATGCCCCCAAATAATCGATTTTAAAAAGACACACACCAAGCCCAACAAAACATCACTGTAAAAATATGGAAGACTGGGGCTGGGGTTGTGGCTCAGTGGTGGAGCGCTTGGCAAGCACATGTGAGGAACTGGGTTTGATCCTCAGCACCACATAAAAATAAATAAATAAAACAAAGGTGTTGTGTCCAACTATAACTAAAAAAAATTTTTTAAAAATATGGAAGACTGACATTTTTCTGTCATAAACATTTCAAAGGGAAAAAAAGCAGGCCTTATATAAAGTATTGTTGTTCAGAGTGACACTGGATTTCTCAACAACAGTGGAATCTAAAATAAAAATGGAACAAAACTTTCTAAATGTTTAGGGGAAAAATTATTTCTCTCTTATATTCAAAACCCAATCAAGCCATGAGCCATGAGAGAAGTAAAACCAATATTTCCATTCATGGATATTTTCAAACTCTTTACCTCCCATATATCCTTTGTTAGGATGGCCTTAGGCCTGAGCCTAAGCAACTCCATTTTTAAAACTCCAGTTTAACCTGCAGTTTCACCAGGCACATCCACAGATCCCTCCAAACAAGTTACTTCCCCTCACCCTGATAAACAGAGTGAAGCCCCTGGCAGGCTGTTCTCGCCTGATAAGAGGGAAAAGCCAGAAGATCAGGGTGGAGATCACCAGACCAGATGTTTCTGACCTCTGGGTAAATGATGTCATTGGTAGCTGATAAGGATTGAAAGGCAGGTCAACCCCCCCCCCAATTTAGTATAAATGATAGAGCAAATGAACAGGGATTCAGCCAGCGGAAACAAGGATGCAGCTGGAGAGCCTGATGAGGGCCTAACATCCCATCACTTGTCATCATTTCCTGAGCCTCTACATGACCTCACCGCTCTCAAACTCTACCACCTCGTCTGGACCTTGGTGAGAGCTGCAACTCCTCCCTACAATCCCCTCCTCAACTGGTCGTCCACTCCATGCCAGGAAAAGCCTGTCTTGGTTCCCCACCTGATCACCGCAGTCTAAGTGAGTGTGCATCTGCTGGACTTAAAGCCCAAGGCTTAAGACTTTTGAACTTAGCCGCAGAGGGAATGTCTGTCATTAGCCCATCATGATTAATTGTGTTGTGCAGTGCTTAGAATTAATCTAGAATTGTTTGCTGTGAATTAATTAATCTATAATTGTTTACTGTGAATTAATTATGTCTATTGCAGTGCCTAGCTCTAAAGATTGTCGTTTTCTTGATTAAGAACCTATAGAGTGAAATTGTATGGAGTAATTTGAGTGAATAAAGCATTGAAAGGAGCAGAAGTGCATGGACATTATTTCTCCCCTCGACTGCAATGTCAGAATTTTTCCCCTCGCAACATCCTTTCTAGAGAAAAATTACTTATAGAAATAATCAAGGAGTTTATAATATAACTTTCTAAGAGAATTAGTTCTAAAAGTAATTACTAGTTCTTTTAGTAATCTAAAACTAATCACCAACAAGATAAATAGGAAAAAGATATGGAGTCATTCAAGGAGAAGGAAAAAGGGAATACTCAGGATGAGTGTCAAAGAAAAAACTCAAAATGAGTAGCACTGGTTCAGGGGTCCTAAAATGGAGTCTGGAAGCCATTGTTAATCAGGTCTCAGACACACATTAAACTGCAAAAGACACACCTCACCCTACCACCACCATTCCACCCATTACCACTCCAGTGTGAACTGACCTTTGAAGCACTGTTAACTCCTGATGGCCTTCTGTACAGTGGACCCTTTTCTCCAAACTACCCAGAGATATCACATCCAATCTCTTTCTTACAAGATAGCTTAACTTTTACCACAGGGATCATAATCCCTGACTAGCAAGTGATATAATTTCTACTATAAAATTTATTTCTATATAATTTATACTATAAAGCTATAAATAGTCATTATTTTGTAAGACCTTGGAGCAAATTTTCACATTTTTTAAAATCAAAGTTCTACCTATGCTTCAGAAGTTCTATAAGGTTAATAATGAAAAGATAAATTATATATCATATTGAAACCAGAGCTCTGAGATTCCCGGCTTTGCCAATATTCTTCCAGGTTCTTGTCTTGCAAGTTTCAAGAATAAAATCTACAAACAATATCAGAAGGGAAGAGTAAATGGATTTATTGAATTGAGAAGAGAGAGAACACTGAGATGTGGGAGGAGACCAGACAGCAGAAAAACCCATTTTGGCGTGCTAGCTTAGGGGCTTATATGGTGTTGGGTAGAGCATAGTACAAAATCTATGTTAAATAGGTATTGAAATGGTTTTGGCTATGTTCTTTAGGCTGAGTTTTAATCCTTCCTGTAACTCCCATCTGGGTTGACTCCCACCTTCCATTTTCCCACCTCTCTGGGACAAACAAGTTGGTTAGAGTGTTCCGATGGGAGAGCCTCAAGGTCTTTCACATTTGAACTAGACCTTGACGGTGTGTGTAAGCAAAAATAATCAAAACAGTTTCCGCATAGTTTTGGATGTGAAAAAGAGATTGGATATAATGAAAGCACAAATAACTGGGACGTGAGCAGACTTCATGGATCAGCTATGTCTTTCATTCTTCAGCAGAGTCATTCAGCGGAGGTTCTCACCTTCTGGATAGAAAATGACCACCAGTTACAACTGGGGCCTGGCTTTTTATAGGTTACATTGAGAGGTGACTTATTATTGACAGAATGTGTCAGTTTGGGCACTCAGCAAACAGGCTGTGAGAATTTGAAAACTGTTTATTGAGAAAGGATGGAGGGTCCAAGGTTCAGGCCCAGTACTTACCTTGTCCTGGGGGGGGGGGGGCGATCATTGTATTGTCACTAGGACAGGATTAACGTATGGCTTCATTGTCACTGGGAAAGGATCAATGTTTGTCCTCTTACGAGGGACTGCCATTTTAGGATTGATGTTTGCCTCCTTCCCACCAATTGTCTTGTCACTGGGGAAGGATTTATTGGGGAAGGATCAATATTTTACCTTCTTCCTCTGTCCCTCCTCCTGGGTCACATTGTCTTGGGGGGTTGTCATTTTCCATATCCTTCAGTGCACATTAATATTTCTATGTGCTAGCCTCCTGATGTGGTCTCTGCATTTGAACCAGACCTTGATTAGGGCCCATCACTTCTGAATGCTGACCATTGACTATTCTTATTCAATATTATATATCATTATATATCATATTCATGAGCAACACAGTGGAACATCATCCCATGAACTTCCCACTGCATAGCCCCTCAATATTTTTTTTAATTTTTTTTAGTTGTAGATGGATACAATATCTTTATTTAATTTATTTTTATGTGGTGCTGAGGATTAAACTCAATGCCTCTTGCCACCGAGCCACAATCCCAGCACCTCCTGCAATGTTTTTTTTTATCAATATTGCCACTCTGAAGCTTTTACTGATTCATTATTTACACACATTGCAGTAGCATCAAAGAGAAATTACAGTCAATCCATTTATTTGATAGCTTGACTATTCATTAAAATTTACTTTTCCTGTGATGTATATTAGTGGTAGAGCACTCACTTAGCATGTATAATGCCCTGGATTCAATTCCCAGCACTGCAAAAAAATTATATATACATATATATGTGTGTGTATATGTATATGTGTGTGTGTATATATAAGTATATGTTATTGTATATATGTATATATGTGTATATATTTAAGATTTATATTGTATACTATACACATATATTTATATTTATATATATTTTATATATATATATATGAAAAAAAAGGCCAAGTATGGTGATGCATGCCTGTAATCCCAGTAACTCAGGAAACTACAGCAGAAAGATCACGAGTTCAAGGCCAAACTGGAAAACATAGCAAGATCCCAACTCAAAATAAATAAATATATATATAATTTGCAACCTCAAAATCACTATACACAATGCTTCTACAACTTCTGAACACACAGATAATGCAGGAAAACTGAGTTACCAATACATATATTCTCAGCTGAGATCAAACTAGGCAACCTCAGTCTTCTTGTGACAGCTTTCACTGTAAAGTGTCTATTAGGGGAATTTTTCACATTTTTTCAAATTTTTGTGTTTTTGTTGATGTTTTAAATGGCCCACAAAAGTAATGCTGAAGTGCTATCTGGTATTACTAAGCACAGCAAAGCTGAAATGTGCCTGACATAGAAAATACATGTGTTAGAAACACTTTATTCAATTTTGATTTATTGAGCTGTTGATCATGAAATCAATGTTAATAAATAAACAATATTTTTGTCTAAAAATGTCTTTAAACACAAACACACATAAAACAAGCATATATTTTAATGAGTTAATGGAGGCTTACAGAAACCTAACCTGATTTGCTCTAGGAGCAATGGTACAGTATTCAGTATTCACTAATTCACTCTTTTTGGGGGAGGAAGAGAGGCTTACTGGGAATTGAATCCAGGGATGCTTTCCCACTAAGCTACATTCCCAGCTCTTTTTAGTTTTAAGACAGGGCCCCACTAAGTTGCTGAGGCTGGCCTTGAACTTGTGATCCTCCCCTCTTGCTGGAGTGTGCCACTGCAACTGGCACTAATTCACTCTTATTTTTGATTTTATAGAGCATGATTACTGTGAAATAAAAAGAACTGATCATGTTAAAGAGGCAAGAGAAAGATAGGGCTAGCTCACCTGGAAGCCTGAGGCCAGCCATGAGAACTCTACAGATAACACTGAATGCCATTATCATCAAAATGAAATTAGGGGAAATTAGGGGAAGCCAAGCAAGGTGGATCACGATAGCCCAGAAGTTTAGGGGCAGCCTGGGAAAAATGGCAAGACTCCATTTAAAAAAAAAAGTAATTGGGGAAGAAGACTCTACTACTTCCCACAGGGGAAGAAGAGGGAAAGAAAACTTGATAAAATTTATTTTAAAATTCACCTTGATGAGTACATACTCAAGAATAGCCAACAAAACTGAGAGGAAGGAGGAAGAAAAAAAGGATACTTAGCCTAAGAGATAATACAATATACAGTAATTTTAAACATGGGCTAGCCTTGAACTTGTGATTCTCCCGCCTCAACCTCAGAGATTACAAGTGTGCACCATCACAAAGGAATTGTTTTGATTTTCTGATGTATTTAAGTTTTTTAAACAATTTTATTGAAGAATGATTTATGTATAATAAATTATACGTTACATACTTATATTATTACATATATTACATATATTCTACATAATAATGATGTTTATATAAATATAACAAATTGTACATAACACTTGTGAAATCACCTCACGCTTTGAGCTTCCCTTTCCCCTTCTGAAGTACCCACATCATAGGATCCATAGACTTAAGTGAAATGTTGTATGTAATGTGTGTAGCACACTTCCTGGAATATAGTAAATGCTCACTAACAGTTTGCAATTGTTATCATCATCATATATGTATTACAGTCACACCATTTATTCAAATAACTTAAAATTCAGATTTGAAAACAAGAAAATATATTTGATTATTTTAAGGAAAAAATGATACAGTTCTCAATGCTCTATTCTTTAAAAGGATATCCAGAGCCGTATTTTGCCCGTTTGTGAAAGAATTAATAAGCTGGGTAGAAGTGGAAGGTGATTATAAGGGGAAAAGCAGTGGGGAAAGGCATCAATTGTAATTTTTTGAAATACACTGAGCCAGTTTGTATATCCCTCTGTCTTATTTGGCCTCTAGTAATGGAAAGCTATTATGATGATATAGCTGGGCAACCATGCAGAGAAGTATAATTATAATGAAGCAGCCATCAATGATGTTGAGAGCCACAGCCAAAGGGGCCCCAGCAAACTTCCAGCTGCCAGATGCTTGCCAGAGCTGCTTGCTATTACTTTCCTCGTACTTGGACCCAGGATTTCTACAACACAAATAAACTTGAGCAGCACCAGAGTGGGGATAAATGACAGATGACAACACTAGTGGCTCATCTATGTGACAGTAATCATGGTATTCCTCTCCACTTGAACTATCCAACTACTGAGACACAAAAAAAGGCCAAGTCATAAAACAAACTTAGGAAATATCAATGTCAAATATAACATGTGATATACACCAAAAAGATTATTTGATATTTTACAAAAGAACTTAACTACCTGAATTAATGAATGAGAAAGCAAAAGATGGACATCTCTTCAAGGCATGCTCTTTTAATCTTCTGAAGCTTTATAATAGCTAGCATGATGTTCTTTTTCTAGAATGCCTTAGAAGTCATAAAAGAAGCTTTGTTTCTAATAGCATGGCAGGTTATTCTGGAGGGTAGTGGCCCAGGGAAATCAGAATCAACTGGAAGACATTACAGGGAAACTATAATTTGTGGACTGCTAGAAAGTAATTGTTTTTTACTTCTAGGTTTTTGGGAGATAAGCAAGGTTTGTGAAAAAGGAAACTAAGAAACTTCCCTGGACTCAAGGACATTTCTATTCTATTCTTCACTAAAACCTAAACAAACAAACTCGTGTTTATATTGATAGTAATTACAGATTAATTATTCTCTTATTCATGAATCCACACTATTTCTATCTAATATAACCTTCATGAAACAATCCTGTGAGATAATAATTTTTAATTAGTGTTCTTTTTCTGAAATCTCAGGGGGAAGGGGGTATGAATTTTCAGCTTCAAATGTTTAAAAATCAAATGTTTATAAATAATAAATAATAAAAATACAAAGCAGACACAGCACCACATGCATGTAGCCTGTAGTCCCAGTTACACAAGAGGCTGAGGTAGAAGGATCACTTGAGCCCACAAGTTTGAGACCAATATAGGCAATATAGTGTCATTCATCTCAAAGCAAAATAATAATAAAATAGAAACTAAACTAATTCAATTAATTAATATTAATTTCTGAAGTTCTTGTTATAGTAAGAAAGAATGTAAAAAAACAAATATCTTCAACTTTTGCAATTAATTTCTAACGTTTCTCTTTAAATAAACAATTCAGCACCAAAAATTTTTTAAGAAAATATAGATAAATAAAATTAACAAAACTAAAATCACTCATTTTTTGTCAAAGCTCATAATTGCTAGTGTTTTGGGTGCAAATGCCTTTGGAGATTAAAAAAAACAACAACAGGTGGATGGATGAATGGATATACAGTCATACCATTTTTGTTCAAAAAATCTAATTGTGCTATATATGATATCATAAACTACTTTTATCCTGTAATAACTTAGGAGATGCCATTCATAATTGTAGATGTAAGGTGCAATTCTTAGCTAAACTTCAGGGTAAACTGGCATTACAGAACAAAGCTAAAGGCATTCCACCAAGAACACCAGCTTACTGATTCTCATTGAAGTTCAAAAAGTACAAGTCAATCAGACTTCAGCTATTATGGTACTTCAGATCCTACTATAAACCCCAAAAGGTACTTAGTGCAGAAGTAACACTAAAGGTATGAAGCAATTACACTGCTTAGGGACATTTGGAGGATAATAGTTTAGATGAATAATGTATGATTCAACAAGTATTGACACCTTATTTCCTAGAACTTCCCTTCCCTTCAAAACATTCCTATTATTGTAAAATTTACAACCAAGCAGATTTTGGAACTGTTGGACAATACTGTTTTAATGAAAACTTGAGAAATTTATAGGAATAATGGTATAAAAAGTGTCAGAAAGGGGGCTTTTGAGTCAATGTTAAATCAGGCCACAATCAAAGTACAAATCAATGCTAATCCTAATCTTTCTGCTCTTCTATGTTTTCCAGGTTCTCTTGCAGTTAGGTTGGGGTCAAACAATGGGTATAGAAAATAAGACAGGCAGCACTCATAAAAGCCAATTCCTGGCCTGACTCTTAAAAGCATCCCATGAAATCCTCCAATCCTCTATTACCCTTGGGGGCTACACATTTCAAATAGTATAGCAAGATATGCAGGAAACATGTTAGTGTTGTATTGAATCACTGAGATTGTGGGCTAATTTGTAGTGCAGCAAGACCTAGCCTATCCTGACTAATAAGGATGCCAAGCACTGGAGGCATAGTGAGTTCTAAGTTCACAGCATCAAAACCAACAACTAGAAAGTCCTTTCAGATTAGACTGATTCACTGTCCCTTTAGAAGCAGTCTTTTCAAACTAGAGTATGTAAAGACTTTATTAAAGGATGAATAAATCATTTGAAGAAATAAATTTCCAGATCAACCTCCATATCTATTCTTCTCTACAACCAGTCTACAACCAATTAACCTGATTTCTTCTGTTCTACAGAGATGCATATTCCTTACACGTCCCAGGTCTTACCCTCATTTGAGTTATCATAAATTCCACATAAATGATGACAACTTTCAAATATCAACTTAAAAACAGGCAAAGAATTATTCTTCAAAAATCTTTTAGAAGCTAGACTACAATAGATTGGTATGTAGATATCTAGGAAACAGTACCAATGTACAGATTTCATAATTCAATGTTCATAGGTATAAAATTTATAGTCCAGAATCAACAAGCTGAAGAAAAAAATTTCTCAGATGCTCAGCCTTCTTCGATGGTCCACCCTGTAGCTAGGTAGCTGTCCAGAGGATCAGAAGTAGTTGAATAAGAAACTAGCGGAGAAAATGATAGTTACAAATTGTTGAATGTGCAGGGCATGGTGGCACATATCTGTTATCCCAGTGACTCAAGAGGCTGAGGAAGGAGGATCCCAAATTCAGAGCCTTAGCAACTTAGCAAGGCCCAACTTAGCAGAGATCCTGTCTCTAAATAAAATATAAAAAGGACTGGGGATGTCACTCAGTGCTTAAGTGCCCCTGGGTTCAATCACTGTTACTTCCCCCTAAATAACTGTTGAATGTAAGAGTACCACAAACTCAAGAGATCCTTTGAATTCCTCAATATTGTTAAAAGTGGTTCTCCTCTGGGAGAATGGTCAAAGCCAAGACCCATAATGCAAATCAGAAAAAGGCATCTCCTCCAGAGGACAACTGACAAAACAGAGCCCACTCTAGGCACTCTAGGTTGATGAAACATCTTTCTAGGAACTTGAGAAGTTATAATTATCACAGCATAGAAGAAAATGTACATGAGGATTGGAGTGCCAGAAGGAGGACAGTGGGGTATTCCAATATTAGACTGTGAATACAAGGAGCTCCTTCTAATAATGTAAAAAATATATTGAGCCCTATTTCACAGAATATTGCAATAACTAGGGGGAAAGGGAAGGGAAGGAACAGCATGGAAGAAATGTGGTATTGAACATGTTTGTGGGATAAAATATGTTTTATGGTCTGCTTTTTTGTTAATAGCTTCCAGTGGGTATCTGGAAGAGATGTCTAGAGAAAACTTTTGGATTCATTTTGGGTGAAGAGCCATTGAATCCTCCAAGAGACTTCTCTTCAAGTAATACAGATAAAAATTAATCATTTCAGTGTTGAGAATTTGAGAGAATAGAGAAGAGGAATCCTTGTTTCTACAGACACTGGGAGGCCTTGGGGTGGCCTAGCCATGTTAATGTTGCAAATGCTTTAAAATTTGTGTGTGTGTGTGTGTGTGTTTTACTGGCAATTTAATCCAGAGGTGCTCTACCACTGAGCCAATCCCCAGTCCTTTTTATTTTTATTTTGAGACAGGGTCTCACTAAGTTGCAGGCCTCAAACTTGCAATCCTATTGCCTCAACCCCTCAAGTCACTGGGATTACACATTGCACCATCATGCCCAGCTAAAATTTTTAACATATATATTATCAAATAGCCTACCAGAAAGATTATATATAATATGTACCATCAATGTATGAAAACAGTGTTCTCTATCATCTTCCATAACCCTGTATATAATCTTGATTTGGGTTTTTTTTTTGTTTACTTATCACAAATTTAACAAGTAAAAATTTGCATGCCACTGTCATTAATTTGTATATCAAAGATTTTCATACCTTTTCTTTTAAATTATCTTGTTATTGGCCCATATTTTTATAGGTACATTTATCTTTCTCTTTATTGATTTATATAGTTTATTTAGGTAGTAGAAATATTACCTTTTTATCAGTCATTATTTAGTAAAAGAAATTTTTCCCTGTCTATTCTTTGCTTTCAATTTTTCATTTTTTTAAATAAAAAATAATTTCTTTTATGGCATTTGGTATTATCTCAAAATTTCCCAAGACTACCCATAGTTTCAGTGATTTGCTAGGAGTCACAGGATTCAGCATATGGTTTTATTCACAGCTAAGGTTTATTGCAGCAAAATTACATATAAGAGGACCAAAAAGGGAAAGACACAGTCATATACTGGAAAAAGTTCATGCACAGGTTTCTTAGAGAACCTAAAAGGCGATAGACAGACACATAATTTATTTTAAAAAGTGTGTGTGTATGTATACATGTACATGCACACATACATATTACATGTTTTGGGGAAAACCTGAGACTCAGAACCCAAGATTTTTATTGAAGACATTCACATATGTACTCTACTTACCGTGTACTAAAATTTCAGACTCCCAGAAGAAAAGCGGATGCTTACCATAAATCACATTGTTTGTCAAACCAGCTAAACATCATGAACTGCCTTCATTAATTATGAAGCAATACAAGTGCTAAATTCCCAGAGACCATATTTATAAGATGGTCTTTCAGAAACAGCAGCCCGAGGCCTGCTATATTAACTCTTTTCTACATAGGTGTTATGTTTTTCCAACCTCAGATTATACAGTTATTCATTCATAATTATCTTCTCCATTTAAAAAGCTTTCCTTCTCCTATTAAATAGTAAAACTACCTAAGATTTATTTTTTCCTATTTAAGTGTTAAGTGGTTGCTTCTTAGATAAAATATCAATTTTTTAAAATTTCTATTTTCCTAAAAAATTTTACATTTTTTCACACAAAAAAGTGTTATCTTTATTCATTTGCTGCTGCTGTAACAGACTACCTCAGCCTGCATAATTTATTTATAAAAGAGATTTCTCAGTTCTATAGGCTTGAAAGTCCAAGAGAGCATGATGCCTGCATGTGACCTTTGTGCTGTATCATGGCAGAAAACAAGAGGACAAGAGGGCAAACAAGAGAAAGCCAAGGAAGCTGAGCTCACTTTTCTAATAACCCACTCCTGTAAAAACTAACCTACTCCCTAATGCATCATGAGATCTGAGCCCTCATGAACTAAAGGTCCCTTAAAGGGCCCCACCTTCCAATACCGTTACAGTGGCAATTAAATTTCCACATGAGTTTTGGAAAGGACACTCAAATCATGGCAACTGTGCATTTTTTTTAACTGGGAAAATACAAAAATGAAGATTCTAATGATATTAAAATTTTATTTACTCATTTTAAAACAAACCTCTAGTGTTTGTGTCTGAAAAACAATATTCATATGCTCTTATTTTTTTCATGTAGGAGGATTCTGTCAGCAGTTTTATTATTTTCTTTTTTTTAAAGAGGGGGGGGGATTTTTTAATATTTATATTTTTTAGTTTTCAGCAGACACAACATCTTTGTTTGTATGTGGTGCTGAGGATTGAACCCGGACCACACGCATGCCAGGCAAGCGCGCTACCGCTTGAGCCACATCCCCAGCCCAACAGTTTTATTATTTTCAATTAAAACTTTTTATAAGTATGATTTAATACACTAATATCTGTGCTATACCTGGGTGAAATATATTAGTCTACAAAGAAGTAAATTGTATAAAACATTTCACCTATGCTTGGCCACTATGCATACTTAGAAATAAAAAGATTAATTTATATATATATATATTAGTTGCAGTTGGACACAATACCTTTATTTTATTTGTTTTTATGTAGTGCTGAGGATCGAACCCAGGGTCTCGCCCGCGCTAGGCAAATGCTCTACCGCTGAACCACAGCCTCAGCCCAAGATTAAATTTTAATGAAGCAGTGGAATTTGACTCTTAGAGACTCTTGAAAACAAGTCACTTTTAATTCTTCTTTTTAATAAGAATATTAAGTGAGAGTTAAGTGATCTATTATGGTCAAAACAGCCCTAACCACATCAGTGAATGAGCTATTTACATCCTAGAGAGGCATTTACTTTTCCACTACTAGAAGACCTTAACATGACACAGCTGACAAGAGGCAGCTCTATAAGGAAAAGAGATAATCGGGAAAATTTCAGGAAATATTAAAGATTATGCTCTTTAAAAAAGATTATGCTCTATCCCAGCGGCTCAAGAGGCTGAGGCAGGAGGATGGGGAGTTCAAAGCCATCCTCAACAACATGAGGCTTCTAAGCAACTCAGTGAAATCCTTTCTCTAAATAAAAA